ACCTATGTAAAAAATTAGTATATTATTATTTAAAAAAATACATCAGACTGTTTTCATCCGCTGAGAAACCAGAAAACAAAATTCTTGGAAAAATAACTTCAATATACATTAAATGATTAGTATAACTACATTTATAATTTGTCTGTTATTCTACTGGAACCTGCAGTTCGAAATACCAAGGACACTTCGGTGGGACAATGACCTTCAATATACATGAAATATAGATATACTCTCCCTTATATGCGATCACGATCATTTTCTGTCAGAAGTTTTTTTTTAATCGGCTGAGAGAACGAAATGTTTAAAAAGGTCTTGCACCTTTCAAACACCGAAAACGAAGCATCATCACATTGACATTGAAATTGTCTGAAGGGAGGTCTGTTATTCTTTTGGAACCTTAAATTCGAAATTATAATTAATTCGGTTGTCATATCTGGTCAGGGTATTCGAAAACATAAAAAAATCGCTCGGAACTATGAAAGTCTACTATATTGAAATTTTTTTCGAATTGAAAAATGTATTTATGAAGCGAGCCAACTGATGGATCACATAGAAGGGAAGGGCCACTAATTCGAGGGTAAGATCAAGTGGAAGCAACATCTCGAAGTATGATTTATCAAATAGGAAAATCTGCGCACAAGACCGCCGCGCCTGTAAATCTTTTTTTAAGCTCGACTTATGGAACATATGTTTTATAACAAGCCAGATAATATTAAGAAGAAGAAAAATCATGGCCGTCATGTAATTTTAGCCATGTAAAATTAATGAGGTCTAATGTAAAAAAATGGGGTCTGACAACCTTAAATTTCCAATTCCTTTTAAAACCATAATATATGACCTTCTAAAACACCAACACCACTCGGGACCTTGGATATGGAAGCTATATAAAAATATAGACCTTCATGGAAAACTGTTCATCTGATTTGGATTGGACGGCGCCTTAATATGGAGGATATACCAGATCATGGTACCGTCATGTCAGTTCAGCCATGTAAAATTAATAAGGTCTCATGTAAAAATAATGGGGTCTCATGTCCTCTGGCAACCTTAAATTTCCAATACCTTTTAAAAAGTTAACCTTGGATATGGAAGCTATATAAAAATATAGACCTACATGGAAAACTGTTCATATGATTGAATACGACGGGACTTTAGTATGGAGGATATGATAGATCCTCTTAACAGCCAAATTTAGACATATGGACCTATATAGAAAATTGTCTGCCATGAGGTATTTTGTCTTCTTAATTCGGGAATATAGCAAATTCGGTCGAAGAATGAGCCAAGGGACACCTATAATATAAAATCGTTCGGAATACCTATGAACCTACATTAAAGTTTTTTTTCAGCCAGAAGATTGAATAAAGTCATGGGAACCCATACCACTGGCCGCCATGCACTATGCTTTGTTTCGATAGCGGAGTTTCTGATTTGACGACCTCTTATTTCGTAAATGCTAAATTAGCTTTCATCTGAAAAAAATACAAAATTCCGAGGGCTTATGTATGTAGTTATGTGCAAATTTAATGCGTTTTTTTGTTTTTTGTATCTTTACTTGTGATATGCATGACTTTCTTCGGGCTACTCTACCGTGATAACCAGCTTTGCGTAAAATTTCTATTTCAAATGGGGTCGTACCATCAGATGGTCCAATATATAATATTAGTATAATTTTTAATACTAATAATTTTCTATCTTCATTTATAAAAACAATAACAAACAATGGCTAATTGAACAGGGTTGCACTGCAACCCTATTTCTACTGAAGTTATAGAAGTGACGGTCAATCGATCGGCCTTTTTTATTTTTTGTTGCCAGACAAAGCGGCTATTACAAATAATTAAATAATAAAGAAAGCACAGAAAAAAACATGCAATTCGTTTTAAGATCATCCATCCAGCAATAAAATTAAACACAAACAGAAGAAACTTCGGAGGGGGTACACAGGGGCAGCAGTCGGTCGGGCCATAATAAAACAAACGCTATTAGTGAGGTTAAACAAATGGAAGTGTTAACTGACAGATGTAAACAGACAGAACAGAACAAACAGATGGATAAATGTGAGGCCGACCGACCGACAGACAGACACAGAGATAATTTGCAAGACTTGGCAAATTGTAAGTGTTGTTGTTTTATATGAACAACAACAAGAACAAAAAATAATGCTGCTAGTCTGGCATTAACTGAATGGCTGCTGCTGTCGCTGTTCAAATCTCATCAGCAGACATTCAGACGGACGGACGGACGGACAGACAAACATTCATCCAAGCAGCACAGTCATCATTAAATAGCGTAGAATTTGCTTGGGTGTTCGGTGTTGTTATGCACTTGTGTTTATTTAGCAAATTGTTTGGCCATTCCATACGTCCCTCCAATATTTTTTTTTTATTTTCGCCTGCTCGATTGTCAGTCATTCCAGCCAAGCCAGGCCAGGCCATGCCATGTGAACATTGTTAGTTTAACTGTTTCCTTTGCGTTTACCAGCCAGCCTGCCCGACTGCCTTGCATTGCTTTTATATGTTGCCATAAATTTTGCCAAGATTATTGCAAATTGTTTTTTGAAGCAAAGTAACAACAACAACAAAAACGAAGTATATAAGGAATTTAATTAAAGTGTCAATTTAATCCAATTTTATTCGACAACAATCTTGCCAGTGTTTTCCCAGTTGCTTGTATCTTGTTCTTCCCATTTTTTTGTGGGCTTTAACAATTTATTGGCTAATTTATGATGTTATCCTCCTCCTCCCCGTTGTTGAAGAAGGAGTAAAAATGTTTCTTTTTTGGATTAACAATAAAGACAATTATAATTATGTTATTATATTAACATCAAGAGCATGAAACATTTATTGAATCATTTAATTAATTACCCATTTAAATGAAGCCCTATAATTTATATTTATTTATGTTTCATTTATCTGTGGCATTTTTTCTTAGGAATGTAGTTTAAAGGCAAATGTACTAATTAAAGATTAATTCTCCTTGAGTTCCGATTAAATCACCCTCACATAGAATTTGGGTAATTTTTTTATAGTAACTGTTTGTGGTAATAAGTGAAAGACTTACATACCATCATTTATGCAAATTAATTATGAATCATTTTTATTTTAAAGATTGTTGTACTGATTATAGATTAATTTTTCCTTAAGTTCCAATGAAATCACCCTCACATCGAATTTGGGTATTTTTTATTCCCAGAAGTTGTACCTATTAGATAAACAATCGATGTTTGTTTAAGGAATACCTAAGGAAAAGTCATTTCCCAAGAAAATATTTTGATTTTGAAGGAGTATTAAGTAATTGTTGAGTAAATAATCCATTAAACAGGTAGAAGGAAACCTTTCTTGTTTATGCAATTGGGACTTCGTACTCACTGCCGAATCAAGTTGAAAATGAAAGCAGGTAGACGCTGTAATTTGTTTTCGAATATATACGTTTATAAATATTCGTAATACTAGTGAAAATGTTGTTTGAGAATTATATGAATTAAAATATTTGAGTTTCACAAGAATACTTCGAATAACAAAAAAACTTTCTTGATGATAAATAATTTTATAGTTATGAGGTTGTAGCCCTCATGCAGTCACCTCGGTTTCAATTGGACATACATTAAAAAATTGGCAAATTTTATATTCTTTAAGAAATCGTAATACTTAAATAAAGAAACATAGTTCGGAAAATTAAGTTTGTGTCTTTAAAACCAGTAAGGAATTTAGTAAAGTCGGACGGGGCCGACTATATGATACCCTTCACCACTTTGGGTATATTCAACAGATGAATCCTAACATACGTCGCATTTTAAAAGGACCAGTAAAATGAAATTTGATCCATAAACATGTCATTCTGGAACCGATACTATTTTTTTCATTTGGTCAGATATAGAAGCTATATCTAAATCTGAACTGATTTCAGGAAACTTAACACACATCATTATATACCTAATTCATTACGCTGTGCCACATTTCGTGCAGACCGAAAGATATTAAGGGACTTTAGTACACCATTTGGCTTAAATCGGGAGCTATATCTAAATCTGAATCGGGAGCTATATCTAAATCTAGACCTAATTCATTACGCTGTGCCAATTTTCGTGCAAATCGAAAGATATATAGGGACTTTGGTGCACCATTTACATTAAATTGGACGAAAATATATATGTGGGAGCTATATCTAAATCTGAACCGATTTTTCCCAATTTCAATAGGGTTCGTCCTTGGGCCAAATAAGTGACCTATGCCAAATTTCATCCAAGTTGGACAGACGGACATGCGTAAATCGACTCAGAAAGTAATTCTATGCAAATTCTCAAAAGGAACCATGGGTCTATCTCGATTCCTTTTGCCTGTTACAAACATATGCACAAAGACATAATACCATGTACCACTGTGTGGTGAAGGGTATACATAGATTGGAAATTAAGGCCTAAAGTATTGCTATGTCAAGACATGGACCTACATAAAAAATTCGGCAAGGAGATATTTTCTCCCCTTATATTCTAAAGCCATTTTTTTTGGAAAACGCTTCTAACTGTTTTAAAATACCTTTAAATGGTGTCAAAAATATGGCACATTGGAATAATCCAAATACTGAATTACAGAAACCTAGCTGGAAAAAATAGATAGGTAGCCCTGTGAGGTGATTGTGTCAAAATATGGGACTACATTGGAAATTCTCTGACGGAAATGGTTTAATAATCTGAGAAAGACAAATGTTTTTAATAATATACACATTGATTGGATATCAAGATTATCAAAATACCTAAAATGAGACGGGATGATTTTTACGATATCCAATAGTTTCTGGGCTAACGTCTATCATTAGGCTTTCAGACACCAGTTCAGTTAAGACTATTGTACATTCGGACTATTGTACATTTTATAGGCGGGCATAACCTCTATTCCTACTATTATCTTTGAAATCTGGACAATTTTTTCAAATAAATAAAAATTTTCAGCTCTTGAACCAAGTTTGAAGTAATTTTTTTAACTTATTTTTTCACTTACCATTACTAGGTTTCTGGGGTATTTCGGCAGGATCAATGCCGCGACTCTGGAATATCGGTGATACCACGGTACAGTTCGGACTAAATTGTTCCAATATTGATGAACCACCCGGTGATGCCAAGGCGGCTGCAACGGGTGGTGGAGCAGCATTTTGACCACATGCCAATGGGGCATTGGCCAGTAGACAGCACATAACAATTAATGTTATAAATAAAGGACGGTTAATATTATTTCCAAAATAAAGGCAGTTTAGAGGCGATGACGATGATGATGAGGAGGGTGAGAAAAAATCTTCTTCATTTTCAGCATTTGCATTTCTTTTGTTAATGGATGAGGTAAAGGTGAAGGATTTGTTGGTACGGTCTTCTTTAAAGGAACTCATTTTGTCGTTGCAATAATAATTTATTAAATTAAATGTTCTATTAAACATTATTTGTTGTTGTTTTTATTATTTTATATTTTAATTTTATAATAACAAATAGAAATTAAAAACTTTTTAATTCACTTTTTTTTTGTTTTATTTTATTGGGGGGATTTAATTCTCAGAGCAAGTTTAGTTCTTTGTTTGGTGAGTGCCAAAATTCCAATCAAATTCAAGCTCAATTTTGCATTGTCTCTCGCTCGCTTTGCTCTTTGTGTTGTGTGGCTCAAACGTGTGCCGTTGTGAGATATTGTTCTTGTTGTTGTTGCTGGGGGGACTCTTTGGTTGCCTGAGTGGCTGGCCGCTGTGCTCTCCCTTTGACTCCTTTTATTGTGTTGTTGTGTGTGATGTTATTGTTGTTGCTGTTATTTTTATTGCCCTTTTATAGGAGAGTTCTTGCTTTGCCAATGTTTGCCAATGTATTGTTGCTGTTATTGTTGTTGCCACTGCTGAGCATGAGGTTAATGATGTTTTGTTTTTGTTTTGTTACTAAAGTCTGAAGTTACTATGGTTGGTTTTTGTTGTTATTGTTGTTGTTCCTATACTCGTTTATGTTTTGCCGGCAAAATGTGGTTAACTAACAAGTGTTGCAAAATAAAACAACAACGATGATGATGACGAAGAAGACTACGATGAAAACAAATCACACACACAAATGTTCATATAAACAGAAATAAAAAAAGAACAACAACGGCGGCGGCACAAAACTAAATAACCGAGTTTGAAAGCATTGAATAAAAAGCACACGTTGAAAGGAGGAAAAAGAGGAGGTGGTGGATTTGATATTGTTTGTTGTTATATTCCTTGCGGGTTGAATGGTCGTTGTCGACGTTGCCGGTCGATTGATATTAAAATCAGACAAACTTTAATCCTTCAAAAGGGCTGTTGCCGCCAGACAAACTTGCCAGAGGGGTGGCTTATTTAGTTGGCTGGCAGAGAAGGGTAGAAAAGGCACACTCTACTCTAGGCGAGGTCAAACGAATTCCCAAAAAATAATTGAGATACAAAAACAACAATAAAGTTTGTTATGTTTTTTTTAACCGGCAAATTTTTAATATTTTTATTTTGGTTTCTTCTCTTCACCCTCTTTCTAACAGCTTTGTTCAGAACACCGGTAGATAGTTAATGGTTGTTATTGTTATTTCTTTGCACTATTTTGATAACAACAAAATGTAATGATGCCGTTGTTTTCGTTTTATTTTTATTACACCTTTTATTATTATTTCACTGTCACCACTTTTTTGTTTATTTTTGTTGCTTTGATATTTTATCACTTTATCTAATTTGAACAAAAAAAAAGTTCCCCGCTTTTTGCTTGCAGCTTCTTCGTATTTAGCACTTGTTAGGCGGTATTATTTTTTTGATCACATATCGTATTTCATTTCAATTTCATGCAATTTTTATTTTATTCAATCTTAAATGGAAAAATTCAATTGATCTTCTTCTTTGCACACACGCACACACATAGAGAACAAACAAAGTTTATTTTTTTTATAAAATATTTCGTTATATTTTCCTTTATTTATTTTATAAATATAAAACAATCATAAATTCTCTTCTCAATATTCCAACTGTTGTCTTGTTTACACCGGAAAATCCGTAACGAGACGCTAAAAAATCCCGAAAACAATTTTAAAGGAAACGCACCATACACCGTACCACGACCACACTGTTGTGTTGTTTCAGTTTATCTGACTTGGTCTGGTTGTGTTCAGGGTAATGCAGATCGTTTTTTGACTAATCGATGTATGATGTGAACATTTATCGAATTGTAGACAGTTGGTCGTGTTATCGTTATTGTAATTGTCGGATTTATGAGGGTCGGTGTAAAAATTACAGGTAATTTCTAAGGCTCGGTAAAACGAATGATATACCGTGACCGTAAAATTAATGCAATGAAATAAACAATATGTATGTGAATTATATATAAAAATAATGATTGTTAAACAAAAGCAATTGCAACCTCACATTGAAAAGTATGTAGGATTCATATCCGAGGACTGAGAAGATGTTTGAATCACTTTTGGACAATTATAAAGCATCCATTCTCGAACTAGCTGGGACTTGTGTATTGGGTTATTATACCCTACACTATTATGTTGTCAGGGTATTACAGCTTTCTGCAGCTCCAAGAGTTTGTAACACGGAGAAATTTTGGCCCTAGACCCACCTTTAAGTATACCGATCGTCATATCTCGACTAGCTGAGTAGACCTAGACATGTGTGTCCGCCTGACCGTCTGTCCATTATAATTTGTATACACTATACCGGCCAATGAACCAATCTTCACTAAATTTTTCGGAAAATATGTCAGTGTAAGGAAGAAGTGCTGTTGACCTCTAATCGGATAAGAGGGTGCTCCGTCCGACTGTACTGTCATGCTCAATGGTTATCTTCATAAAATTGAAATGTTTCAATTCCAATTTTTCAGCACAACATTTCAAATGTTGTTTTAGAATGTTTAAGTAATAAATCTTATCCATAATTCCTGCAATAAAAACGAGATTTCCTACTCGGGCAGCGCTCATACAGCCCCATACCCTTACAGAGCATCCTCCGTGCTTTACCGTCGGAATTGTGTGTTTGGGTTCCACGGCTTTATTCACCCTGCGCTATACCGACCATCCATCCCAAACAAGTTAACCAAAAATGATCAATATAGGTGCCAGTTTTGGTGTAGTTCCAAGTAATTCCACAATTCGGCATTTTGAGGATTGCAAACATGCGTCATAAGTGTCTATAGTTTGGTATTTCGTTTTTTCCTAGATTACCCTATGGATTTTAGGCATAAAAATGTTCACCCCGGATGAATTTAAGGACAGTTTTACTTGTACTTTTATCTCTTCAGTTGTAGCCATCGGGCGCCATGTCAGGTGAATACGGTTGTTGAAGCATGGGAAGAGGAAAAAGTCTGCGGCGATCAAATCCAAATACGATGGTTGAGACATTATCACGGGTTTGTTTTTGACAAAAACTCATTCACAAGCAACGATGTGTTAAGTGGGCCACACACCTCAAACATGTGCGTTCGATCGGTGTGAAGCTCCTAGCCCACACACGTCAAACGGATCCATTGAACTTCATTTCATATTTATTTTTGAAGCGTGAAGATGGACCGCGATAGTGATGACGGAAAAAAGACAAAATATTTTTATTTAATATAAATGTATTAAATACTTTTATTTTATTCCGGGAAAAATCATTTGTATTTGCTACACAGTAGAATATGTGTAAAAACATCAAAAAATCTTCCAAATGCATATGTATTGCATTTGTCCGCTGATCCGCACTCCACGAAATGAGAAAATATCCACACACCAGGCCACAGACGTCAAACATGTGCGCGTCGCACAACGAAAAATTAAAAATTTTTAATTTCTTTCGATCGGTGTGCGCACTGGCAAATCGGTGTGAACACCGTACCACACACCTCAAACATTGCTTCGATTCACACCGATCGAACGCACATGTTTGACGTGTGTGGGCCACTTTAGGTGTAGCGTTATTATGGCGCAAATTCCATGATTGTTTTTGCACAATTCTGTGTCGAATAGCTTCTTGCAAACGGGAATATCTTCAATGTTGTACAGCTTATACTAATGTGTATTTTATCTTTGATCTGGCGATTGTCTGAGCAGTTGTAGATGTGTAGCGTGCCATATGTCATGTGGACCATTACCTCATGCCGGACCCCATGCCCAATATGAATTGAGGCGGCTACACCATAGCTCTTCTGTCGCAGGTGGGTGATCTCCGAGATTGTATTCACTTTATATTCTTGAATTGCTTCCTACACTGTATCCTTTTGATCTATATGCTCCCTTTTGTACCTCTGGAACTTTTTCCCCAGATCACTACTTCTATAATAACCAATGAGATATGGCATCGACAACATCTTGTTGTGATGATACACAGGAAGAATCTTAGTCTCCTCATGTAAGTGGTCTATTGGAGTCATGTGGAAATACTCTGTTGCAGTGTTTATTGCGGCATTCTTGCAGGATTGAAGATTTTTCCATTGCGTTGTACTAAAGTTGGCTGATCACCGCATAGTTTACCACCGACCGCCCATTTGCCACGTATGTGGTTAACAAGATGTCTTTGTCAGCTCCCCAAGTGCTGCTTGCCAGAGGTTGTAATATTTAAGAAGTAACGCTGTGGCATTTGACACACTTCAGACGTTTTAATTGGGCATATTATCTTCAATTGGCAATTTAAATCTGGCGGTACCGTTAAATAAACAACGAAAATCAAAATATGATTGCGATTAGTGTTGTACGTAATGTAACGGAATCGCATTGCGTCAGAACGTAATATGTTGTGCGAGCGTATGACGTATAAATTTAAAATGATTAGCGCCTGAAAGTATGCAATAATCTGATGGATTTCATATTCAACTTTTGCTTATACAAATTCAAATGACTTCAGCCGCATCATGGCAAGTTGTACTCCGAGAAAGCGAGAACTTGGTAAAATGAACTAGACGTAGTACCTCAATTTTTATTTGACCAGTAAGCTCCAATCGAAGATATAAAGCTATGAATAAAAAATTAATGATGACTGTGGCGAACATCCCAGATCATTTCAAAATTGGACTTAACCTCATACCACCCATGAATTTGGCCAAGATATTTCAGTGTCCTTGATGGACTCATAAAATTTCGTTCTAACTTATCAATCATATTAATTGTTCATTGCTTTTGATTCCATGGAGATGCCTCT